GTCATAGCTCCCATACAAGGTCCCTTTCAGAAAAACACTTAAAGGCACATAACTCATTACCAAATAATGATATAAAACTATTTTTGTTCATAAATACTATTTTGTAATGCAAAAAGCACTTAATGCTATTTCAAAAATTTTTCACGATCGGTCTATATTTGGTCATATCTCTCATACTAGGTCCTGCCCCTAAAAGCGCTTTAACCGTATTTAACTATTTGCATTATCAATTTGTGTAGAACAAAATTATATATATGTATGTATTTTTAAAATCCTTAAATCTTTCACACACATGCATACATGCAAATACGAGATATCGCTAAAGCATATCTTAGGGCGCTATAAAAATTTAAATGAAAGTGGCGTTTCTAATGTTCAATAAATCTTGGAATTGTAGTAGATTTAAGCTGTTTAAATCTTGGGATTTTTCTATTTAAGACATGAGAAAACTTATTTCTACAAATATTTTATTAATTAGAAATGTATTAATACAAAAGTTGCTGGTGGAGGGTATTTAAGATTCGGCTCAGCCGAATATAGCACTCTAACTTGTTTTCCTACAATTTTTTCCATCACTTGGTCGTCATAAATAAATGATTTGACGTATGGTCAATGATTTTGAAGAGCTAAAGAGAGATAGAATACTAGACTATAGACTAGACTATAGACTAGACTATAGACTAGACTATAGACTAGACTATAGACTAGACTATAGACTAGGACTATAGACTAGACTATAGACTAGACTATAGACTAGACTATAGACTAGACTATAGACTAGACTATAGACTAGACTATAGACTAGACTATAGACTAGACTATAGACTAGACTATAGACTAGACTATAGACTAGACTATAGACTAGACTATAGACTAGACTATAGACTAGACTATAGACTAGACTATAGACTAGACTATAGACTAGACTATAGACTAGACTATAGACTAGACTATAGACTAGACTATAGACTAGACTATAGACTAGACTATAGACTAGACTATAGACTAGACTATAGACTAGACTATAGACTAGACTATAGACTAGACTATAGACTAGACTATAGACTAGACTATAGACTAGACTATAGACTAGACTATAGACTAGACTATAGACTAGACTATAGACTAAACTATAGACTAGACTATAGACTAGACTATAGACTAGACTATAGACTAGACTATAGACTAACTATAGACTAGACTATAGACTAGACTATAGACTATAACTATAGACTAACTATAGACTAGACTATAGACTAGACTATAGACTAGACTATAGACTAGACTATAGACTAGACTATAGACTAGACTATAGACTAGACTATAGATAGACTAGACTATAGACTAGACTATAGACTAGACTATAGACTAGACTATAGACTAGACTATAGACTAGACTATAGACTAGACTATAGACTAGACTATAGACTAGACTAGACTAGACTATAGACTAGACTATAGACTAGACTATAGACTAGACTATAGACTAGACTATTTATATAAATGTTTCAAGATTTCTGGTCGATGTAGTACTCATGGCAACAACCGTTGTTACCGTCTTATAGGGTGCCAAACTCTTGATTTCCCCTCGGTTTCTCTTTCGTACCCTATATGCTAGGTGGGAAATGAAAGTCTAATAAAGTTTTTATTGTGGAACTATGTATTGCAATGCACTATTCCTTATCATGTTACCTATAGCAACCACTATCATCAATGCCTTGAAATTCCATTAAGTTTTCGCTTAAGCTGAACGATATTTGCTTATTCATCTTTTCCAGGATTAATATCTATTGAAAACAAAATTCCTTTATCACTTTTATCTTTGAGGTTTTAGACTGTAGTGTAAATCTTAAAAGAAAAACACTTTAAATTTATTATGTTTCAAAGAAATAACAACCAAAAAAAAGCAGATCTAAAGCGATTCTATTTGTAAAACTTTAAAACTCACTAAAGAAATTAATGTCATGGAGAAATAAACAAACAAGAACTACTACACTAATATTGAAGTAAAAGTTTATATTTTAACCGAAAACATAAAGGAACTAGTAGTAAACAGAAGATGTAAAAAGGTAAAGGTAACCCAGGACAACAAATTTATTTATGCACTAAAAACTACTGATACTCAGGGTTAAAATAATGGAACATGCAAAACAAGAAAGAAGAAACTATAAACGATTAAAGCCGATTATACATTAACCTATACCAATGATTGTCGGAAATACTAGTAACGAAATTTAAAATGTTATAATCCTTACAGAATGTTTTAGGGTGATTAATGTTGTAATGAGAACTATAAAGATTTTCAGAAGTTAGATCTCTATGGCAGCTCAACTCAGTTATACACCTAAACACTCCACTGTGGTAGTGTAGGGGATATAAAAGAAACTTGAACGATTAAAAGCACTTTACCAATACTACGAAAACGTGGTTAAATATTAACGCTGCTACTGGCACACTGACATCCTAAGTGACTCGCATATTTACCGCTGTTCGAAAGGATGATGATAAACTTTTTTTCGCGTCCTTCATGAAGCGATGGCAGCGATGGTTGACAAGTAAAATAAAAAGTATTTTTTTAAAAAAAAACAAGACTTGTTATGTCAACTCAAAGTCCAGAAACTACAAATTTTATTTTTATTTACCTACTAAAGTAGTCTACACACATGACATCAGTTCACTACATGTTGATATAAACAAATAATATATAAATGTAAAGGGTGGTCCAAATACTAGTAACGTCATAGGTTATTTGACACTAAATGATTTTTTCAGTTAGTGTTACACCTCCATGGTCTAAAATGATACTAACTCAATTGGTCCCAGTCTCCCCCAGGGCATGTTATATTGATAAATCGGATTTGCCTTGCTATTGCAATTCCGGGGAAAAACAGAAGAAATTGAAGAAGTCTTTAGACTACTTTGCACCAGAAGTACATCAAGCAATTACCAGAAACCTGCAAACCCTTTCGACTCCTATATTAACATATTATAGGGTTTTTTGATCAGACTCCGACCAGGACTAATTGCTTGAAGACCTTCTGGGTCCTCATAGTGGTTGTGGTTGTAACTTAATTCTCAAGAATAGAATAAATGTTAAAACACTGATTCATGTTGATTCAAAATTTTGGGAGGAATGACTATGGGGCTAAATGTTGGGAAAGATTTGATGTCGAAGTGGTAGGACATTTTGAATATTTTGCTTCCTTATCAAGGTATTTTTTTGGATTTACTCTTTTCACTATTCCCCTGTGAGTAAAAAGAAAGTCTTGACAAAAATTACAATCTGTGTGGTCTTCAGGGATTATAAGGGGCAGTGTTGGTTCGCTTCTAGCTCACCCTGTGATTGAAGGGTTTATGATTCCCCCTGTCCTACGGTACATACCATCGACATTGTGACTGCAGTGTGCAAGTGCTGAAATACCATTTCGGCTACAGGGCCATGATTAGTCTGGTATCCACAATGTACAAAAATTATCACCTAAGTGTTGCTAAGGGATCACAAAGGGGCAGTGTTGCTTCATATCTTGCTCACCCTGGGATTGAAAAAGAGTACCGTGTAATCAAGTAACGCACTTGAGGTTCATGATTCCCGATGTCGCACGGTACGTATTATCGACATTGTGGCTGCTGTGTGCAAGTGCTGAAAACACCATTTCGGCTAACAGAGTCTTCTACGGGGCCATGATTCATTATATTCGCTGTCGTACGGTGTTGCTAAAGGATCACAAGGGGGCGGTGTTAGTTCGCCCTAGCTCACCCTGTGATTGAAAAAGAGAACCGGGTAATAAGGCCAACAAGGCAGGTGTTCACGTAATGCACTCGGGGTTCATGATTCCCGCTGTCGTACGGTGCATATCATCGACATTGTGGATGCTGTGTGCTAGTGCTGATAACACTATTTCGGCCAACGGAGAGTACTGCAGAGCCATGATTGGTCTAGTGTCCACGATGTACAAAAATTACCACCTAAGTATTGCTAAGGGATCACAAGGGGACGGTGTTGGTTCGTCTCTATCTCAATCTGGGATTGAAAAAGATTACCGTGTTATAAGACCGACTAGGCAGGTTCACGTTATGTATTTAGGTTTCATGATATTCGCTGTTGTACGGTACCTAAGTGTTGCTAAGGGATCACAAGGAGGCGGTGTTGGTTCGTCCCCAGCTCACCCTGTGATTGAAAATAATGCCGACAAGGCGGGTGTACCATGTAATAAGACCAACAAGGCAGATTTTCAGATTATGTCGTATGGTGCAGATCATCGATATTTTGGATGCTGTGTGCAAGTGATGATAACACTAATTCCGCCAACGAAGAGTACTGCAAAGCCATGATTTGTCTGGAATCCACGATGTATAAAAATTACTGCCTAAGTGTTTCTAAGGGATCACAAGGAGGCGGTGTTGGTTCGCCCCTAGCTCACTCTGTGATTGAAAAAGGGTACCGGGTAATAATGCCGACAAGGCGGGTGTTCACGTAATACAGTCGGGGTTATTGATCCCCAACAAGAGTAACTTTACTTTCGCTACAACACCTTCAGCACCAGTTGCCCATCACTGATGGTGATTGTTTTAATTATGTTAGATATTAAATGATTATTAAATTGATTAAAATTATTTGTAAATATTAATTAAATTTAAATGTTCTTACAGCACTTTATGAATTCATGTTAAATTAAAATTTTAAATACAATTTAAAATGTGGTCGAATACATTATTCATACGCGCAATAATTGTAATTTTGTTTTTTAAACATTCAACTCAAGTATGTTATTTTATAAAATTAAACTTTTCAATATAACAATTTTTATTTCCTTAAGGCCTTAAAAAAACGTTGGAATTTAGAATTTCACTCGTTGATTTGTCAAAAGAACTCGAGTGCTATTAAAAAATTTGATTGTGATTTTCAAAAAGTGGGTATCAGTCATTATACTTTTTCCGTACGGCTAATGTTTAATAAGAATGTGGACAAACAATTTTTCGTACGATATTATATACACACGATGCCGCATTCAAAGCGAAAAGCTCTTAAATTCATTGATATTAAGATGAATATCTGTGATGCTGTACGCTCAAATTATGAAGTACCTCTGATAAAAACCATACTATTGGAGTTAAGGAAATCGAGCAATATTCCATATCAGTGCCCTTTGAAAAAGGTATAACATTTAACTAAATGCTAAAGATATTATTTAATGTTTATTTTTATTATTATCTAGGATTTCCTATATGAAATTTCCAATCTTAGCGTCACAGATAAATATATGACACCCATGTCTTTGCCTACATTAAATTTCAGCAACGGCATTGAAATTTACGAATCCAATAAATTGATTGCATCTCTTTTTACTATAGGTGGTATAGTTGCAAAAAAATAAAATTAAATTTTCCTATTGGGCATTGAAGTGTGACGCGTAAATATACATATGAAATTATGTAAATTATTTATTTAATTGATATTTACTAAAATGTATTTAACTCATATAACTAGTGAACTATTTAAAATATTGTATAAAGACTTTATTAACTGAATATTTTTTGTACAACAGTCTTTTCAAACAACATCATTATTTATTCAATTCGCACCAGGCACGGAAAATTCAGTAATTTAATACTTTTTATATCGACAAATACCGCAGTACCCCCACAATATTTTCAGAATTTTTTCGAATATATACTACTACTACTATAGGATCTTGTAGTAATCTATTCTATAGTCTAGCCTATATTCTTGTTTATAGTATATCTTTCAATCGAGTCTATAGTCTGGCCTATAGTCTAGTCTATAGTCTGGCCTATAATTCAGTCTATAGTCTAGTATATATTCTGGCGTATATTCTAGTCTGTAGTCTGGCATATAGTTCAGTCTATAGTTTAGTCTATAGTCTGGCCTATAGTCCAGTCTATAGTCTAGTCTATAGTCTGGCCTATAGTCTAGTCTATAGTCTGGCCTATAGTCCAGTCTATAGTCTGGCCTATAATCCAGTATATAGCCTGGCCAATAGTCCAGTCTATAGTCTAGTCTATAGTCTGGCCTATAGACCATTCTATAGTCTAGTCTATAGTCCAGGCCTATAGTCCAGGCATATAGTCTAGTCTATAGTCTGACCTATAGTCTAGTCTATAGTCTAGCCTATAATCCGGTCTATAGTCTAGTATATATTCCGGCCTATAGTCCAGTCTATAGTCTAGTCTATAGTCTGGCCTATAGCCCAATCTATAGTCTAGTGTGTAGGCTGGCCTATAGTTCAGTCTATAGTTTAGTCTATAGTCTGGCCTATAATCCAGTCTATAGTCTAGTCTATAGTCTGGCCTATAATCCTGTCTATAGTCTAGTATATAGTCTGGCCTAAAGTCCAGTCTATAGTCTGGCCTATAGCCCAGTCTATAGTCTAGTCTATAGTCTGGCCTATAATCCTGTCTATAGTCTAGTATATAGTCTGGCCTAAAGTCCAGTCTATAGTCTGGCCTAAAGTCCAGTCTATAGTCTGGCCTGAAGTCCAGTCTATAGTCTGGCCTATAGCTCAGTCTATAGTCTAGTCTGTAGTCTGACCTATAGTTCAGTCTATAGTTTAGTTTATAGTCTGGCCTATAGTTTAGTCTATAGACTGGCCTAAAGTCTAGTCTATGGTCTAGTCTATGGTCTAGTCTATAGTCTGGTCTATAGTCTGGCCTATAGTTCAATCTATAGTCTAGTCTATAGTCTCGACTATAGTCCAGTCTATAGTCCGACCCATAGTCTAGTCTAAGGTCTGGCCTATAGTATAGTCTGGTCTACAGTAGGGCCTATAGTCTGGCCTATAGTCCAGTCTAGTCTATAGTCTAACCTATAGTCCAGTCTATAGTCTAGTGTAAAGTCTGGCCTATAGTCCATGGTCTGGTCTAATCTGTAGTCCAACCTATAATCTATGGCCTATAGTCCAGTCTATGGTGTGGCCTATAGTACAGTCTATGGTATAGTCTATAGTCTGGCCTATAGCGTAGTCTATAGTATAGTCTATGGTCTGGCCTATAGCCCAGTCTATAGTATAGTCTATGGTCTGGCCTATTGCCCAGTCTATAGTCTGGCCTATAGTCCAGTTTATAATCTCGACTATAGTATGGCCTATATTGCAGTCTATGGTCCATGGTTTGGCCTATAGTCTTGTCTATAGTCTGGCTTATAGTGCAGTCTATAGTCCAGTCTATAGTCTAGTCTATAGTCTGGCCAGTCCAGTCTATAGTCTAGACTACATTTTAGTTTATAGTCCAGTCTATAGTATAGTCTATAGTCCAATCTATAGTATAGTCTATAGTCCAGTCTTTAGTATAGTCTATGGGCTGGCCTATAGTCTAATCTAAAGTCTGGCCTATAGTCCAGTCTATAGTCTGGCCTATATTCCAGCCTATAGTATAGTTTATAGTCTGGCCTTTTATCCAGTCTATAGTCTGGTGTGGCCTATAGTCCAGTCTATATTCTAGTCAATAGTCTGGCCTATAATTCAGTCTATAGTCTGGCCTATAGTTCAGTCTATAGTCTGGCCTATAGTTCAGTCTATAGTCTAGTTTATATATTCAAAAGTATTTAAGCTATAAGTCTTTAGTCTATAATCTAGTCTATAATCTAGTCTATAGCCTAGTCTATAATATAATATTTCGATGGCTAAAGTCTAGTTTATAAATTCAAAAGTCTATAATCTATTCTATAGTCGACTTTATAGGCCTGTTCCTAGACTATAGTCTAAAACTTAAAAATTACTACATTTGTTATGAAGTTAGTACTATTTCGGAATTTAAATAATTCATCATGTATGGTATCTATAATGCAATTGATTTTTTAATAAATTTAGTTTTTGGTCTTAGGCCGTCAGTCCAGCCACAAATTCCAGACAGGAGCAACCCCGTCGAAACCGTGGGAGTGATTGTAATCACGAGAGATCATAATCCTGAATCATCACACGACCTTATTAATAGGGTAGAACGTCAGTTCTTACCACTACCAATGACAAATTTTTAATAGCAAAATCGAACTATACATACAAAAACTCATATAAACTAAATGAGAATTATATACGAAATTCAAAAGATACTAGATAATAAAATTTAAAACAAAATTACCAAAAAATTCTAAAATAAACCACCCAACTGATAATAGCGAGGCACACGTTTATTTTTTTCGAAAAATAAACACACATAATTATGTGCAAGCGTTTACACTAACAACTTTTCGTGTTCACACTAACAACTACTTTGTGTACACACCATGTGATTGTTCATAGCTGTATATATTGTTAGTGTAGATCAGTTTGGGTTAAACAAATAAATTTGTTGTTGTATATTGACTAGAAATAGATCAAGATAATTTGAGTGTAAAATCACTATTAGCATTTTAGTGTAGTCTACGGTGGGTCACAGAATTATGCATACAAATCTTAATATAAGTATATTAACTACAAAATTTATATAAAATACTTGTTTTCTTTTAGAAATTTAAATTTTTATAGAGATCTATATTTCAAAATTTCCTATGAATACAAAGTTTTTGGGAGGAGAAGTGAACAAGCCGCCAAAGACGCTAAATTGTCAAAGATGGGTATCATAGAGGGTCATGATCGTATACATTACTTTCATAAATAACCGTTTTTTACAATATTACATTGTTCTCTAAAACAGTGTTTTTTAAAAAAATTTTAACTTTTTGCAATTTTTTTTCGAAACATTTTCAAAAGTGCTGAAATTTTCAACCTAATTTTGATCTAAAACACTTTTCCACAATGAAATTGATTTTTTCACAAAATTTTTTAGTTACTGGTCTTAGGCCGTCAGTTCAGCCACAAATTCCAGACAGGAGCAACCCCATCGAAACAGTGGGAGTGATTGTAATCACGAGAGATCATAATCCTGAATCATCACACGACCATATTAATAGGGTAGAACGTCAGTTCTTACCGCTACCAATGACATATTTTTAACATCAAAACATAACTAAACATACAGAGAAACGTATGGACTTAATGAGAGTTACATGCCAAATTCAAAAGTTGCTTAAAAAATAACAAAATAAACCATCCAACTGATAATATATTTATATAATTATTTTTAAAACACACCACTAATTATGTACAAGCGTTTACACTAACAACTATTTGTGTTCACACTAACAACTATCTGTGTATACACCCCATGAGGCACACCAGTTCACAGCAGTGTGATCGAATATTAAAATGTTGTTGTTGTATATTGACTAGAAATAGCTGAAGGTAATTTGAGTGTATAATCACAATTAGAATTTTAGTGAAATGTATAGTGGTTCACAAAATTATACATACAAATATTAGTATTTACAACAAGTTAATATGAAACACTTAGTTTCTTTTAGAAAGGAATAGAAATAGATTATAAATATGTAAATTTAAAGTGGGTTTTAATAAGAATATGGGGTTAGGTCCTAGCCCGATTGTCTTCAAATACCGATCAGTATCTGAACACACAGTGTTTCGATTCCTTCCTTATAGCAAGTAAGAGTGTCGGCTGTGTCGAATCTCATATACCCACCATCACACCGTGTGCCGTAAAAGGAATGCTCAACTATAAACGTCAGGGTGATATTTGGAATATGGCTTAAGTCAATTATGGACCGAGCTCTTTTGAACTAACAAAATATTAATTTTTAAAAAACAAATATTTTATTTCAATTCTTAAACCGTGAGCGTCAATTATGAACCGATACTCATAAAATTTTGTACATAGATTATGTATAGAACTTGTTCATGCAAAATTTCAGCGCTGTACTCGTATTTTAAATAAGAAACACTCGTATTTTAGTAACCAAAACTTTTTCCTGAAGGGTACCTTTTGTAATACATTCCGTATTTCATAAATGAGTTATGAAATACATTCCGTATTTCATAACTCATATTTTTTAAGCCAGTAATGATCGTTTAAGTAATTTTCTGAAGGGGACCTTATATGGGCGGTAGGGTAAATTATGGACCGGTCCTCCCTAAATTTGGTGGAGAGATTTTGGCACGCATTAAACTTATGTGCGTCAATTTTCGTCACATTCATATTTTTCAGCCAGTAATGAGCATTGTAGTTATTTGCAGATAGGGACCTTATATGGGGGAAGGGTCATTTATGAGCCGATCCAAAAAATTGGTACAGAGGTTTTGGCTCGTAAGAACCTGTGTGTGTAGCATTTCATCGCTTTACTCGTATTTTTAAGACAGTAATGAGCGTTTAAGCTATTTCCTGAAGTGGACCCAATAGGGGGAGTAGGGCCAATTATGGACCTATCCACATAAAAGTTATTAAAAAGATTTTGGTTCGCAAGGAACTTAATTGTGTGAAATTTTATTGCTAAATTCGTATTTTTTAGCCAGAAATGAGCGTTAAAGTCATTTTCAGAAGGGGACCTTATATGGGGGATAGGGTCATTTATGGGCTGATCTTAAAAAAAATCGTAGAGCGATTTTGTTTCGTAAGAAACTTACTTATACCGAATTTAGGACCAGTAATGAGTGTTAAAGTAATTTTCTAAAGGGGAGCTTATATGGGGGTAGGGTCAATTATGGACCGATCCTCAAAAAATTTGGTAGAAAGATTTATGTCGAATTTCATCGCTATACTTATTTATGTCGAATTTCATCGCTATACTTGAATTTTGGGGCCAGTAATGAGTGTTAAAGTCATTTTCAGACGGGGACCTTATATGGGGGGTTGGATCATTTATGGGCCGATCCTAAAAAAAATTAGTAGAGAGATTTTGGTTCGTAAGAAACATACTTATACCGAATTTCATCGCTATAGTTGCATTGTGGGATCAGTAATGAGTGTTAAAGTAATTTTCAGAAGGGGACCTTATATGGGGGGCAGGGTCATTTATGGGCCGATCCTCAAAAAATTTGGTAGAAAGGTTTTGGCTCATATGAAACTTATTTATGTCGAATTTCATCGCTATACTTGTATTTCTAAAGCAGTTATGGCCGTTAAAGCTGTTTTTTGGAGGTCCACTTGTATAGAGGCTATCCGAAAAAGTGGACCGATATTGCCCATTTTCAATACCAAACAAACCTTAATAATAGAGACTATTTATGCAAAATTTCAACTGTCTAGCTCCTCTCGTGTGGTCCCTATCGTGATTTCAACAGACAGACAGACGGACAGACGGATGGACAGACGGACGGACATGGTTAGATCGTCTTAGAATTTAATAAGGACCCGCAATATATATACTTTTATGGGTCTATGACCAATATTTCGATGTGTTACAAACGGAATGACAAAATCAATATACCCCCCATCTTTTTTGATGGTGGGTATAAAAACGTTAAATCTATACTCACGGACTTATGAGCTGTTAAAATCTGACCATCAAAGGGTCTAACGCCACTTAAAGCAAACATCGAATCATGATGATTGGGTCTCAAAGCCTCTACACTAGTCGGTCAGCCTTGACCCACTGTAATTTCTTACTTGTTATATATAAATAGTAAAACAACTCTTTGATTATTTAAATCGAAATATGTATACAAGTGTACCATGTTAAACATTTATTCTGTAGTACACCTGAAAATGTATATAATAAAATGTCAACATTGGACATTAATAAAGTATGTTTAGTTTGTTATTTTGTTTGTAACATTTCACTTATTCTGTTAAAGATATGCAATACCCGTTTTCAAATATATCCATGGTAGAAATGATGTTACTCGGGTAAATCCAGATGACCAGCCCAAATCACAGCCAAGTGAAAAACCAAATGATACAATACCAATTAACTCATAATGATCGTCAACAAAATAGGCCAATGGACCACCAGAATCTCCATTACAAGTGGCCTTTAACAGTATGCTATGAGTACATATATTAGAGGCGGTAACTCCACCTAAGTATTGTATGTCACAAATGAAATTTGGTTGTACACAAACATCCGCGTAACGAAGTTTATTCGTAATACCCGAAGCAAGGCTACTTGTTTTGCCCCAACCGGAAATTCTGGCCATTTTTCCGGCATAATTCAGATGAGGTCCAACAAGTTTCGGTAATTTAATATTTTTTATGTAATCATTGTAGACAATCGGTTCAGGAAATTCAATAATGGCAATATCATTTTCCAGCGTACTGTCATCATAATCCTCGTGCACAGTTATGCCAGACGCATAGACTGTAATCCTTAGTTGGCCCACTTCATTGGGATTATCTATATCATTGGCTCCCAGAATAACAATAATTTTACTGGCATCCTTGGCACAATGACCAGCAGTTAACACATAAATATTAGAAAGCAAAGAGCCTCCACACCAATAGGTATCTTCGCCAATGTACAAAATCAAGCCAACTTGATGTGGAATCTGTTTTGGTAGAGCAGGAGCGCCATTAACAATACGTAAGCCTAATTCCTCCAAGCAGATGAGTGGTTGAACCAAGTCAATCGATGCAACTGCGGCGCACAAACCCAAAGCAATTAATTGCAAATACAAGTATTTCATTGTTAACTAAATGATTTCCAATTGAAATATATTCTTCCATGGCATTTTTATCCTCTTTATATAGGAAGGTTTTTTTAAGATTACAACTCGAAGTTCCAAATTTGTTATCGATTTCAATCTGCAACGTGCAATATTTAACCTTCATATCTATGACTACTAGAATGACCGATTGCCGTTATTGCCTATAAAAGTGCAACGAACCAAAGAGAAATTGAACCAATGAATATTTCTTAATCAAAAATTTTTTAAGAATAATTGGTATAATTGTTAGATAACAAAAGGCACAAAAAAGTTATTTTAAGAAACTTTCACTAAAAGGGCATTTTAGATCCATTTTGTTTATTTTTTGACCGATTAAACAATAAAATTGCAAAACTTATGAAAAAAATTGTAAAAAAAATTTCGCGTGTCCAAAAATAATCTTTTATCTTAATCTTGAATAAAATACTGAATGAAAACCAGTTTTTAAAAAGTAACACTGTTTGACAAAGTATAAGTTTTACACTATAAATTCCATTAATTTTTCTATATAGTACACCGGGAATTCCCCAATATTACAAAATCAAACTTTTGACCTCATGGGTTAAGATTGTTCGATTTGAATAAAACTGTGGGAATAAAGTAAAACTCATCTACTGTTTAAAATATCAATTATAACTGAGATCAGATTAAAGGCTATCTTATAAGGGCAAAATCTCTTATTCCAGTAATTTGCTTCCTGGGCAAGAAGATAGCAGTGACAGACAAAGTTAAGTACATAGGTGTAATCCTCGACCGGAAATTGAAATGGAGGCACTACATAGAGGATAGCATCAACAAAGCACATCGGTGCTGGGCTATATGTAGAAGAACTATAGGCATGAAATGGGGTCTTAGTCCTACTATGACAAATTGGCTTTATAAAAGTGTAATTAGACCAATTCTAGGATATGCTTTAGACAAAAAGTGCAATATCAAACTACTACAGGGAGTTCAGCGTACGTGCTGCTACTTTAGGCAAACTTGCCAAAAGCGGTTATAGAACACGTCATCAATGTATACTGTACATATTGGAAGGTTGTACACAATCATCGGACGTGCCTGATCGTATACCAGACACAGAATAGAATCGGAAGCTTTGAAACGCTATTCCCAGATGGAATGTCTTGGCCAAGCGGAACATTAGAGGAAATACCAGTAGGAATCCGTTGTTACACGGATGGCTCTAAATTGGGGTGAAAAAGTGGGGCTGGGGTTCTATATTGAAGACCCAGAAACAGAAATAAACCACCGTTTACCAAATCATAATACAAGCTTCCAGGCAGAAGTACGAGCAATAACGGAATGCGTAAATTGGATTAGAATAAATATGGCGCGCACAGCGCTTAATACATTTACGGACAGCCAGAAGGCAATTAGGGCGATAGAACTAAATCTTATACCGTATTGTATTGTAAGAAAGCTTTAACTGAATACTCTCCCAGAGGTAAGGTTCACATCATATGGGTACCAGCCCACTCGGGAGTAGTCGGTAACGAAAGGGCGAATGTAATCGCTTTAAAGGGAAGGGAGCTCGAGCAAAACCATTCGACGCAACAAAAGCTGAACTAAAATAATGGATGAGAGAATCCCATAAGGCCTCTTGGAATAATGAAACAGTGGGTAGAACCACGAAGATCCTATGGGGTGACCCTGATGAGAGCAAGAGGAAAAATCTCCTCAAAATGAGGAAGTCTGAAGTTAGTATGATGGTACGTATTCTGAGTGGACACAGAGGATTACGTGCACATCTATGCAAAATTAGACGTGCGGATTCAGATGAATGTAAAGCAAGTGGAGAGTACAGCGAAATTCTTGAGCACTTTCTTTGCCACTGCCAGACATTCGTCGAAGTTAGATCCAAGTATCTTGGAAGTGATGTTATTCCGGAAATAACATTCCTGACTAACACTGATTAGAAGATTCTTAGGAAATCTTCTGAGTTTCTGAACACTGAAAAATAATTCAGTCATTTCCTTTTTTCATGATAAGGAGCGCACAACAGGCCCGATAGTGGCCTAGGTGTATTTCTTCGGATTTGATGTACTGTACATCCTCCTATCAAGCTAACCTAACCTACACGCAGGTGACAATTTTTGCTCAAGTACTCAAGCCCCGACAAAGGTCATTGGTTAGTACCGATAGAAGGGGTGAACCCAACATTAGGTGAAAACACACTATTGTTGTTATGAGAAATGCCATCACCCTATAAACATTCTCATCATCTAAAGACTAACTCATGCAATGTTCCTACTAACATTCTCACCATCTATAGACTCATTCCAATGCATTCCTGGACCTCTTAAAGTCGCCCAGCCACACTACTGAAATGGGTGTGTTGTTTGGGCAAAGCATTTAGGGATGTAATTGGTGGTTCGAAAACACAGATCTATATTAAATTAGCCAGACTTATTTCAGTGATGAGTTGAGCATGTTTTAGAGTAAATTCCAATACTCTCAACCATGAAGGAAACCATCGCCGATAAATTAAAGATTAAGGTATTAACAACTCCTCCAACGTCTCAAACAACTTCAACGTCACTTCAACCGTCATTCCGAAATCTCCACAGATACAACTTAGAATCCATCTCATCTATTAGATACAAGTATCCGATGGCACACCACATACTAAGGTGTACACAATCTTTGCATTATCAGCTCCTAGAAACTAGGAGTGATAACAGAAACTTTTCCCGAAAATTTATATTTCACCGTGTATCAATCTTTTAGCCAATCACACCTTCCCGCGTGGATCCCGAAGGAACCTCGACCAACTGACCAGCCAGAACAAAGTCCAGTTGGCATTTGGCCGTAGCACCAGATTATGTGGTGCTCAGATCATTTCAAGGAAAGGCCGAGGATACATTTGATCCCGTCAGACTAGAGGTATTGGTAGCACCTCTTTACCCCGGTATTGCAATACACCAATATGAGGGTCTTTCATCAAGGAAACATGCCCCGGGGGAGAGGGAGTATATTGAATTTTTCATTCCGTTTGTAACACATCAAAATATTGGTCTAAGATCCATTAAAGTATATCGATACCCTATATCCTAAAAGGGCTAAATTAATAAAGTCTTGTTTTCAGGAGAGCAAAAAAAAACTATTTAATTCGTGTCAAATTTATACCACAAGTGGATAATGCATTGAGGAATCCTCACTTTGTCCCATGATTGAGTTAGCACTTTTTGAATATAGGGTGACGATATATATACTATATTGTCAATTTTCACTCCTACTTTTTCCCACAGGCTGCAGCTGCTATTTTTTCCAATTTTTTGTTGTTATTGTCATAAGCTTGACAAATCATACTTTGACATTTCAATTACAACACAGAAAATAAATGAAATGTTTTATGAATTGTTGTTAAAAGTATTGTCAAACGTTATTTGGAATATTGTCATATAACACAATATCAATAACAATATCAAATAAAAATGTACAAACAAATACTCACAAATATCCTTAGAGAAATCGGCATATACATAGATATGGGCATTTCCATTGAAGAGTATATTTTTTGTCACATCATGTCACGCACATTAATTGATAATATCTTAGGAACATTCCTTTTGTTTGGTTGCGTGACGTGATGTGATGTGACAAAAGTAGACTTTTCGGCGGAAATATCCATATGTATGGAATATACATACATCATATAAATGTATGTGTTATTAGGGTGGCCCCGTTTATATGGAAAACAAATAAGTTACTGATGCAACCAAAGTATGAACGTTGAGATCATTCTAAGATACCATTTCTTAAAATGTTTCTTTTGGGGTCAATATTTGGTGAGCTAAGTTAAAGAATAAAAAAATTCAGGGTCTGTCTGTCTGTCAGTCTGTCTGTCTGTCTTTCTGTCTTCTGTCTGTCTGTCTGTCTGTCTGTCTGTCTGTCTGTCTGTCTGTCTGTCTGTCTGTCTGTCTGTCTTTCTGTCTGTCTGTCTGTCTGTCTGTCTGTCTGTCTGTCTGTCTGTCCGTTTATATGGAAAACATATAAGTTACTGATGTAACCAATGATGAACATTGAGTACATTCTAGGATACCATTTCTCAAAATGTTTCTTTTGGGGTCAATATTTGGTGAGCTAAGTTAAAGATTATAAAGGTTCAGGGTCTGTCTGTCTGTCGGCCTGTTTGTTTGTTTGTCTGTCTGTCTGTCTGTCTGTCTGTCTGTCTGTCTGTCTGTCTGTCTGTCTGTCTGTCTGTCTGTCTGTCTGTCTGTCTGTCTGTCTATCTATCTATCTATCTGTCTGTCCTTCTGTCTGTCTGTATGTCTGTCTGTCTGTCTGTCTGTCTGTCTGTCTGTCTGTCTGTCTGTCTGTCTGTCTTTCTGTGTGTCCATGTAAAGCACGCTACAGGTTGCAATTTTCAAGATAATTTGATGAAATTGGACACATACTCTTTTTTGGCCCAAGTACAATAGGGCATTTGAGCTCATAATTATGTTAAATGTTCTGGTATCTCCACAAAAATCTGCAAAACTTAGTTTTATATAAGTTTAAATGATACTTCTTAATGATCGGGCCTGTTTCAAAAAATTTAGTTTGAAAAAAGTTTATGACCTACAACAATACAACCATACGACATCGATCGTGAATTGGACAATTGTATTTTAAATATTAAACCTAATCCTATATATGTTCATAAAACTTAATTTAAGAAAATATTGCGAACGTTCATTGTTTCTGCTTATATAGTTTTTGATACAATAACTAAACTGGTCACTTATCAATTTTGTATAAACAATATTTTCATGTTTTACATTATGTTTAACACAATGATAAACATTAAACTTAAACACAAAACATTTAACGAAAAAAAGTAATAATTAAACATACAGAAATTTTACTATGAATAGAGATAATGAATGAATGGTAAACACAATTACTATTGTGTTTACAAAATTTAACACAATTTTCAATTATCACACAGAAGGCAACTAAAATAATAATAAAATGTTATTAATATTAGGGTATTCAAGCAAAAACAC